GGCTGCCCTGCCTCTTGCCCCCGGCACTGGTCGCAGGAGCCGTTGCAGTGAAATACCAACATCCCCGGCTTGGGTGCTGGGCAGAGCCAGGGCAGCCCCCGGCCTTTCACGTGCTTTGTGTAAAAACGATGCTTCTTCTTAAACAACATCCCTAGTCTCTGTCGGGGCAGCCGCGCGCTGCATTGCTAGGGGAAGGACGGCAGGACAAGGGAATCCCCTCCTGCCTCCAAAACCAAACCGGCACTAAAAGAGCCGCAACCAGCTCTCTGCTTCTAGCCGCTGGCCAGGAGGCAGCCCCGGTGGGTTTCTCCTTTTGTCTGTGCTGCGGGTTCACAGGCCCAACTATGGGCCTAAATCCGGAGCGTTGATTCCTGTGAATAAACTTTACTTAGGCGACGAGTCCTATTGAGCCAGAGTCTGGTGTCGGTTACACCGGCGTGAGTCTGGATTCACAGCGGGGCGTAACTGAGTTTAGAATCCTGCCCATGGCTTCGAACAGGAGTAAGGTAACCCAGGCAGGACCTGCGGGTTCACAGGCCCAACTATGGGCCTAAATCCGGAGCGTTGATTCCTGTGAATAAACTTTACTTAGGCGACGAGTCCTATTGAGCCAGAGTCTGGTGTCGGTTACACCGGCGTGAGTCTGGATTCACAGCGGGGCGTAACTGAGTTTAGAATCCTGCCCATGGCTTCGAACAGGAGTAAGGTAACCCAGGCAGGACCGCGCAATGGAGTAGCAAATTCACTCCCAGGAGCAAAGCTTGCGGGGCCGTGCCCTACAGTATGTCCCAGCGGAGATTCCCCACGGCGCCCCGCGTGCTGTGGACGGCTCCTCGCGCAATCCGGAGTCAGGTAAAATTGTAGCAGGAGTATTCCATCGGCATCTGGCGAGAAGCGCAAGGGCGCGATCTAACCCCGAAGTGAGGCACGGTAGGAGGTAAAGATTCGCCCTTCCCTCCCGCCAGCCCCCAGCAGGCATGGACACACCAGAGAAATACCAGCCCCTGACTTGCCTTGGCTGCGAGGCTGGGGAAGTGGGCCAAAGCAAGTTATGCCGTACTACTTCGTCGAGGCTCAGAAACATGCAATTTTACCTGACCCCAAAATTCCTCCCTTCTCCCCGGCCCAGCTAGGAAAAACGGTAACAATGAACCGAATCCTTTGGAGGGAACAAATGGCGTGAACGATCGTCGAAACCCTTCAGTGCAGGCAGACGCCAGCGTCTCAGGGCCAGCTCACACAGAAGGCAAGCTTCTTTTGAAAAGACACAATTAAATGCTACAAAATGCAAGAGTTAAAACTTCCAAGCGTGGTCAAGGGGGAAAAAATAAATAAAAACAAGGAAATGAGCAAGAAAGAATAAAGGAACAAAAGGAAAGCAAAATAATTTTAAAAATCCAGAAAAAAGAAAGAACAAACGAAAAAGAAAAATGAAAGAAAATGAATGAAAGAACGAACAACGATCAAATAGAAAGGATTAACACGAGAGAAAAACGAAAGAATGAACAATGAACAAATGAATCAATGAACAAGAAAAAAAAGATGAAAGAATGAACAATGATAAAAATGAACAAATGAGAGAAAGAAAGAAAGAAAGAAAGAAAGAAAGAAAGAAAGAAAGAAAGAAAGAAAGAAAAAGTGTTCCTCTAGCCTTAATTTGTTTGCTCTGGGATCTGTATTTGTTGTGTTTTTTACAATGTTTGAATACAAAGCGTGTTAGAGGGTCATCCAGGAAGTGATCCATAAAATGCTCATTACCTCCATAATAAGTGTAAGGGGTAGAACCCAACATTTCAGATTCATCCAGCCTGCCTCCCAGAGGGCGCATGCGCCGAGGACTCCTGAAGAAGGCATGCCTCCTGGCCCCCAGTGCGCTCAGCTGTTTCATTCTCCTCTCCTTGGACCTTCTATTCTGGAACCAAACCTGCGGGCAAATTAAACAACAAGAACGTGGTGACAACATTCACACCAACCCACAGCTCCCGCCAGCTGTCTCCCAAGGCCCCATCAAGCCACATGGGCACTTTGCAAGCCAACAGTAACCAAGTTGATTCATTTGTTTTGATTTGCCTGCCTTTGGTCTCCCTCTTGCAATACGTGTTTGCCACCGGTCTCGGTTTCTAGATTAATCTACTATTATATTGGTCGATCTCCGTAACAAAGGGGCACAGAGCTGCTGCTGTGAACAGGCAGATCAGGAAGCTCGTGGTATTAACAAGGTGCCAACTAAGAGACTGGTTCCCTTCACATGATCGCACCAAGATGTTCCACATTTTTCCGTCAGGATTTTCCAGATGAAGGCCGCAACATAGCACATCCTCCCCACGCCAACTCCCAGCTGGCAAGCTCCCCGAAGATCCACTTTTCCGTTTTTTGGACCAGCTCCTGACTGGGCCCTTTACAAGAGGCTGGCGAAGAGTTTCTGAAGAAAAATGAGGAGAAACTTTCAACCGGGGGATTAAACTCTGCAGTTTAGCCAATGAAGCAAATTGGCTGGCTTTGAATTAAAAAGAAAAGGAAAGATGGGAATGAACTCCCAGAACCATCCAGGGGTGAAGGGTTTTTGCTCACCCTTGGAGAGCTTTATAACAAAGTATGTTTCCTACTCCCCCCTCCTCTAAATCCTAGAAGACATGTTCATAAAGGGAACTAGAGAGACTTTTCAAACTACAAACTATTGTGGGAGTGCCTGTTTTCCTAATCTAGCCATCCATCCATTGACAGAAACCTAGAGCAATACAGAATTCATAGAGACAGATAGAAATACATAGCAATAAATAACACAGATATGTGAATATGTATAGCGTCTGATGCTACGGGGGGGTGTGAAAAAGTCCTACTCCCACTCCTTCTTTTAAATCCTAGAAGACATATTCATAAAAGCAACTAAAGAGACTTTTCAAACTACAAACTATTGTCGAAGTGCCTCTTTTCCTAATCTAGTCATCCATCCATCGACAGAAACCTAGAGCAATAAAGAATGCATAGAGACAGATAAATTATATATCAATAAATAACACAGATACGTGAATATGTATAGCTTCTGATGCTGGGGGGGAAAGGGAATGAAAAATAAAGGAAATCTTGGGTGTTCTCCCATCTTGCAGATTACATAGATGAACTACAGAACATTTCATTCCACCCTTTTGTTTGGTCTAGGACAATTTTTTCACACGCTTGCCTAGCACAGCAAAAACGTGTTTGAATGTATGACGTCAGTAGTAACAAGAGACCTGAACATACTTCTCTGTTTCATCCCAATCTATTTTTCTGGTTTGGGAATTGTTTCTATCCCCCTCCTACAGGATAAAGAGATTGCAGAAGAGCACTGAGAAGGTCTCCTTGCAAAATGTCAAGATAGAAGCAACTCTCAGTTTCACCGGTTTAAAGAACTGAGGTTAATTTCTTCTCTTGATGCCCTTTGCTTTAAAAGTTTTTTTAAAACTTTTAATTTATGATTCATGGAAAAAAATGTTGAGGCAACGCTCTAAACTTTCTTCCGGTCACTGGCTCAGTCTGAAAGTCCCACCAGGCAAATACAGGATAAAGAGATTGCAGAAGAGCACTGACAAGGCTTAGAACAAGAAAGCAGGAAACTGAAGGAAAGACGAGGATATTGCATTAGGCTGACGCCGCGTTTTTAAGAACTTCTTGCTCATCAGGTGCGGCTCAGCATCATATACAGCACATAGGCCAGGTGTCTAGTGGAGGTGTCTTGGTGATGTTTTTGTTCTTGGTTAGCGTGGGCTCTGTTGCCATTGGATTCAGCTCCTACTGAAGTCAACCGGAGCCTTTTCATTGACCTCAATAGGAGCTGAGACAAGTTCTTTAGGGAACTGGAATCTGATCCAAAGCTCGCTGAAATCAATGGGATCTTTCCACTTTGGGTAACTCACAGCGCCGCGCAAAGTGCGTGGGGGAGGGAGGGGAATCAAAGGGCCCTGAAGAAAGTTGAGGGTCACCGCTCCAGGGCTGGGCTGGTCAGCGCTTCTTCACATCAATTTCCCGCTTGTGTGAGGGCCAGAGCCAAAGGGCTGGAGCTTTTCCATCAAGTTCAGTGGGCTTTGGATGAGGCACTAGGCAGGCACATCAGTACTTGAGACTGAGTGCTAGCTATCGCCTGAGGACTCTCCAGGTGAAGAAAACAATTCTATCACTAGAGAGCTTTCAGCACAAACTCCCTGAGCCTCCTCCTCCTCTTTATTAGCAACGGAGGCCAATTAGGATCACTGCTAAAATAATTCTGACAATAGGAAATAGTCCTCTTGCTTAGGAGAGAGGAACCTTGCAGTCTCCACATCACAACATAAGAAGGGACAGAAGGGGCCAATGGACTGAGCAGTGGCGAGGACTGAGGAGTCCAGGTTGGAGACTCCGCTCTGCCACGAGCCATATGGGTGAACTTGAGCAATTCGCTTCACGGCTTTCAGCCTCGGTTTCCCCATCTGTAAAATGGAGCTAAACACGCGCATTTCCTTTGTAAAGACTTACAAAGGGGATAATTCTCATTCTTACAAAGGGGAAATCTTCCTAGCAACGACCTACTTGGTCTCTCCTTGGATTTTATGCCAATTTCCTCCGGCACTTTTAGCTGCTGCCAGATTTCTCTAAATGGCAGAATTTTCTCTCCTCTCCCTCCCTAGCTTCTCACAGCCCACGGTTCCCCTAACGTCATACTGCTGAGTTTGGGACGTCACAGTCATCTCCATAGCGACAGGCTGCCATGTAGCAGAATTAGGCGGCTGGGAGTTGCAACCCAATGGATCCAAAATGGAGAAGAGAGGGAAGCAGGGGTGACTAGTGCTCTCCCCGCCTGCTTAAGCAGATGGTGATATTGTGGGAGGTCACTAGTCCCTGATCCTTTCTTCTGTTCTCTGCTATGGCACCCATTGCCACTGAGCTTTCCTGTACCTGGATCACTCGCATGTTGAGCCCTGTCTCCTGTGCCAGCTGTTCCCGGATATGCCTGGTAGGTTTGGGGGTAGCAGCAAAAGCAGCCTTGAGAGTCTCCAGCTGCTTGGCTTTAATTGTAGTCCGAGGTCCTCTTCTCTTGGTGCCCGAGTTCTGTTCCTCGTTTTCGTTGTTGGTGGTCTCTTTGTCCGAGGAGGTGGAGTTGTCCGTTTCCTTTGTATCATCCTGCATGGGATCCTGGAGATCCGGGGACAAACTTCTGTCTGTACAGGAGGACACTGCAAGGGAGAGGCAGACAGGAGAGGGATGGCTCTGAGCTGAGCTGGGATCCCCACCCCACTGTCCCACGCGCTGCTTTCTGGAGGCCAGATCTGCCCCCGCCCCCAGCTTTCTGCGCTAGGGGAACACGAATCAATCACTCCCAAAGAACACAACGAAGAGTTAATGAGGGGGTCAGAATTAGCAGCAAAATGGGCTTATCGGTCTGTGTGGCAGCAGGGGCGCAAAACACCTCTGGCCTTTTGTGTCGCCGGTGTAAAACCTCTGGCTTTGGTGGAGTCGCATGGGATTTACACCAGGGTGACTGGCTCCGGATGGCAGTTTTGCACCGCACTGGCAGAGAGGGAGCTGTCCCAGGCTCCCACTCTGGGGAAGGAAGCGCTTTCATTTGGGTCAGCTTGAGAGTTTTCCTATCAGACACAAAGGTGGGAACCGGAACCATCCAAAGCTAGGGACCGCCTTGGCCCTGCCTCACCCCGCCCCCAGATCCAGCGAATCCCTGGCCTTGGGATCGGAAATCCGTCGGCTGCCTGACCCCTTTTCTCCCCGCAGCAGGCCCCTAATGTGAAACTCACGGGGTAACCTCCGCTCACTTGGCCCAGAGCAGCAACCCAAGGGAGCCTCCTGGCAAGATCTATTTGCGGGTGCTGAAAGAGCCCAACCCTGCCATTCTGATGCAGAGACAGCGGCCAAGGAAGTTCAATGGGAATTTTACCTCTGCCTAAAGAGGCAAGGATCGGGTCCGCTGCTTGTACATGCCACGTGCAGACATAGCACAAACAGACAAATATTGGGGTTCTGGGTATTGTCTCCATTAGGGTTTATGATAGGCTCTGATGCCACAGGGGTGGGAAGGAAGGAAGGAAGAAAGGAAGAAAGAAAGACAGCCGGAGCGTTTGTGCGCGATGAAAGGCAGGAATATTATCTGCGGAGGAAGAAGGTAAAAGGTCTCAGAGGCTTCAGCCTTTACTCACGCTGTTAGCCCCAGGGGGTGAGAAGGGCTCCCCTGACTTGGAAGTTTGGGGCCTTGTCTGGATTCTCTTCACACATAAGGAAGCCGGGGAAAATATCCAGGCCTTGGAGGGCAGGGGAGGGGTTAGATCGCAGAAATCTCAGGCCGCCTTGGCCCTGCCTCACCCCGCCCCCAGATCCAGCGAATCCCTGGCCTTGGGATCGGAAATCCGTCGGCTGCCTGACCCCTTTTCTCCCCGCAGCAGGCCCCTAATGTGAAACTCACGGGGTAACCTCCGCTCACTTGGCCCAGAGCAGCAACCCAAGGGAGCCTCCTGGCAAGATCTATTTGCGGGTGCTGAAAGAGCCCAACCCTGCCATTCTGATGCAGAGACAGCGGCCAAGGAAGTTCAATGGGAATTTTACCTCTGCCTAAAGAGGCAAGGATCGGGTCCGCTGCTTGTACATGCCACGTGCAGACATAGCACAAACAGACAAATATTGGGGTCTGGGGTATTGTCTCCATTAGGGTTTATGAAGGGCTCTGATGCCACAGGGATGGGGGGGAGGGAGGAAGGAATTCTGAGTGTTTGTGTGTGATGAAAGGCACGAAGATGATCTGTGGAGGAAGAAGGTGAAAGGTCTCAGAGGCTGCAGCCTTTACTCATGCTGTTAGCCCCAGGGGTGAGAAGGGATCGTTCCCCTGACTTGGAAGCTTGGGGCCTTGTCTGGATTCTCTTCGCACATAAGAAATCTGGGAGAAATATCCAGGCCTTGTTGGGCAGGGGAGTAATTAGATCTCAGAGATCTCAGGGGAAGGTGGTGGTGTTAGCCCAAATCAACCAGGAACCGGAGAAACATCTGTCCCCCTCCCACCTCCCCCTTCCCAGTCTGGTCACATGTTTACAGCTGGGCCTATACATGGCAACGTTCACTTTCCCCCAGCACCTGATAAATGTAAAGTAATGTGCATTGGAAAAATAATCCCAACTATACATACACTATGATGGGGACTAATTTGGCTACAACTACTCAAGAGAGAGATCTTGGAGTCATTGTGGATAGTTCTCTGAAAACATCCACTCAATGCGCAGCGGCAGTCAGAAAAGCAAATGTCGCTTCCCCCCAGCACCTGCTGACTGTGGGGCCTGGTTGATTTAAAAAATGGAAACATCCGTTCTTTCTCCACTTCCGGTGCTGTCTTCGGCCCTGCATTCTTTCCCCCAGCTCCTCTTCCCCCCTGCCCAGCACAGCTTGGAGTCGGTTTCTTCACTCTCCTTCCACCCTCTCCCAAGCGCAATAGTCTTGAGAAGTGGTGGGGGGGAAAGGGAGGGGGGACAGAGGTATGTATAAAGATGGAAAATAATAAACCGTGCAAGGGTTCCTCCTCCCCCAAACACAGCCAGCCCTTGGAGCGCAATTACTCCTGGGTGCGGAAATGAGCGAGACTGGATGAAAGCGCCTTGTGGGTATTGGAGAGCGATAGCTCAGATTCTATCCAGTGCTGGGAGGTGAGCCGTGTGTAGCTGTAAAACAGACAGCAAGGCCTCATTATTTCAAAGGCACAGGCTAAAAGCCAGGTCACATCCCAAAGCCGGCACAAAAAAATTACCAAGCCCCCCTCACCTCCCATCCCGTTTCCTAGACTGAGGTTGGACTAAGACAATCAAATCGCCGTCCCCGTGTGTTCGTACCAGCGCTTGGCCTCTGCAGGCCACAGAGGGCCAGAAGCTGCTGGCCCGGGGCCGACGCTCCATACCTGAGTTGAGGCTGCCTTCCTTTAAGCTGGGCGAGTTCAAATAGTCTTCTTTGCAAACAAATTTGTTTTCGTCTATAATATACAATTCCTCGCCTGTGGACAGCTGCTTGTTGCAAACCATGCAGGTGAAACAGTTCAGGTGAAAGACTTTGCTTCGGGCTTTGCGGACGAGGTCGCTCGGAGAGATGCCTTGGGAACAGCCTGCGCATTTGGTACCGAACCTCCTGAACAGGAGCGAGAGAAAGAGAGAGAAGGGAGGGTGATAACACCGAATATAATATACAATTCCTCGCCTGTGGACAGCTGCTTGTTGCAAACCATGCAGGTGAAACAGTTCAGGTGAAAGACTTTGCTTCGGGCTTTGCGGACGAGGTCGCTCGGAGAGATGCCTTGGGAACAGCCTGCGCATTTGGTACCGAACCTCCTGAACAGGAGCGAGAGAAAGAGAGAGAAGGGAGGGTGATAACACCGAAGGGGCTACCCGGGCGCACAGGGGCCTGGCCTGAGAGTCGCCCCCGGCCGCCTATAACTGCATCGCACCCAACCGCAGGCGTCTTGGCTGAGAGAGGGTAGATGGTGGAGATGAGGCGATTAAAGCAATCGCCCTGGGTTCCGACATCCCAAGGAAAGCGGATTTGGATGCCAGCAAAATGCGTGCGCAAAACTATTCCTCAGCAACACGCGCCTCGAGCAGGCGAAGAGAGGGCTCGATTTACATGAGAATTATTTCCCAGCCCTGAGTGCCCTTGTTTGACTCCCTAGACATGGACACCCCACCCCCACTTTAACAGGTCTGTCTCCATGGGAAATATTCTGGGGTGTCTGTTTAGGGTCCAGAGAAGAGCAACAAGAATGATTAAAGGTCTAGAGAACATGATCTATGAAGGAAGACTGAAAGAATTGGGCTTGTTTAGTTTGGAAAAGAGAAGATTGAGGGGGAACATGATAGCAGTTTTCAGGTTTCTAAAAGGGTGTCATAAGGAGGAGGGAGAAAAAATGTTCTTTTTGGCCTCTGAGGATAGAACAAGAAGCAAGGGGCTTAAACTGCAGCAAGGGAGGTTTAGTTTGGACATTAGGAAAAACTTCCTAACTGTCAGGGTGGTTAAACACTGGAATAAATTACCCAGGGAGGTTGTGGAATCTCCATCTCTGGAGATATTTAAGGGTAGATTGGATAAATGTCTATCAGGCATGATCTAGATGCTACAGGGTACTGACATGAGGGCAGGGGACTGGACTCGATGACCTCTTAAGGTCCCTTCCAGTCCTAGTATAGGGTGTCATAAGGAGGAGGGAGAAAAAATGTTCTTTTTGGCCTCTGAGGATAGAACAAGAAGCAAGGGGCTTAAACTGCAGCAAGGGAGGTTTAGTTTGGACATTAGGAAAAACTTCCTAACTGTCAGGGTGGTTAAACACTGGAATAAATTACCCAGGGAGGTTGTGGAATCTCCATCTCTGGAGATATTTAAGGGTAGATTGGATAAATGTCTATCAGGCATGGTCTACAGTACTGGGTCCTGCCATGAGGGCAGGGGACTGGACTCAATGACCTCTCGAAGTCCCTTCCAGTCCTAGTACTCTGATTCTATTAAATGAAATTAATAGGCAGCAGGTTTAAAACAAAGAAAAGGAAGTTTTTCTTCACTCAGCACAGTCAACCTGAGGAACTCCTTGCCAGAGGATGTGGTGAAGGCTAGGACTATAACAGGGTTCAAAAAAGAGCTAGACAGATTCATGGAGGTTAGGTCCATCAATGGCTATTAGCCAGGATGGGTAGGAATGGTGTCCCTAGCCTGTGTTGGTCTGAAAATGGATGACAGGAGAGGGATCACATGAGGGTTACCTGTTGTGTTCCCTCCCTCTGGGGCACCTGGCATTGGCCACTGTCGGCAGACAGGACACTGGGCTGGATGGACCTTTGGTCTGACCCAGTATGGCTGTTCTTATGTTCACCTGCTGAATGTGGGGCCTGGATTATTAAAAAATGGAAAAATCTGTTCTTTTCCCACTTCCAATCCTGTCTCTGACCCTGCATCCTCTCCACCAGCTCCTCTTTTCCCCTTCCCAGCACAGCCTTTAGTCCACTTCTCCACTTCAGATGAAAGAAGGTTTCATCTGAAGAAGTGGGTTGTACTCACAAAAGCTCATGATACCATCTACAATACATGTTTCGTTAACCTCAGTCTAGCAAAAACTTTAAAAACAACAAAGTCATGGAGCACCTTAGAGACTGTTTTCAAATCACCGTCCCCGTATGCTTATAAGGTGCACCAGCCCTAGGCCTCTGCAGGCCACACAGGGTCAGAGCCTGCTGGCCTGGGGCTGATGCTCCATACCTGAGTTGAGGCTGCCTTCCTTTAAGCTGGGCGAGTTCAAATAGTCCTCTTTGCAAACAAATTTGCTTTCATTTATAATATAAAGTTCCTCTCCCGTGGAGAGCTGCTTGTTGCAAACCATGCAGGTGAAACAGTTCAGGTGAAAGACTTTGCTTCGGGCTTTGCGGACGAGGTCACTCGGAGAGATGCCTTGGGAACAGCCTGCGCATTTGGTACCGAACCTCCTGAACAGTAGCGAGAGAGAGAGAGAGAAGGGAGGGTGATAACACAGAAGGGACTACCCGGGCACTTAGTGGCCTGGCCTGAGTGTCATCCCCCCTCCCCCCTGCCACCGGCCACCTATAACTGCATCACACCCAACCGCAGGCATCTTGGCAGAGAGGGTGGATGGTGGAGATGAGGCGATTAAAGCAATTGCCCTGGGTTCCGATATCCCAAGGAAAGCAGATTTGGATGCCAGCAAAACGCGTGCATAAAACTATTCCTCTTGTGGCGGATTTGGTCTCCAGCAACACACGCCTCGAGCAGGCGAAGAGAGGGCTCAATTTACATGAGAATTATCTCCTAGCCCTGAGTGCCCTTGTTTGACTCCCTAGACATGGACACCCCACCCCCACTTTAACAGGTCTGTCTCCATGGGAAATATTCTGGGGTGTCTGTTTTGTTTGGTTGGCGAGTGAAATCCCTCCCCCAGCTCTGGCAGGTAGCTGGCTTTCCCGACCCACCGCTTTCATTCAATCCTTGCCAGCGCAGAGGCAGGGAGCAATTCTTCTCTCTGGGGCACACAGGGGCAAACCCCAATGGGGAAGGGGCAGTTTGCTGAGCTGTGTTTTGAGGGCAGATTGTTTGCAGCTCAGAATAAGGTGTGGGGAGTGGGTCGGGTTTCTCTGTATGCGTCGGAATGCGTGGGTTTCAGATGGGCTGCTTTAAGAAGCAGCCATTATTTGGCATCAGTATAAGCATCCGCTTTGGTTTTGGATACCACACTGCGTCCACCAGAAATCTGCAGCACATTTGCATCCTTTTTTCAGGCTGCATTTCGGGAGGACACAGGAGGTAACCAATGGATCTTCCTATACAGTCATAATTCTGATGAATATTCGTGTTCTCTTAAACGATGTCACATTTCCGGACTCAATGACCTCTCGAAGTCCCTTCCAGTCCTAGTACTCTGATTCTGGTTAGTAAATATCCACTGGGGACACTTCTGTTGTTAGAGGGGTGGTTAGTTACAAAAGAGAAACACAGATGGCTGCTTATTGAATTCAAAATGGGACAGGGGATCTAGCTAACATTTGAGGCTCCTAAAAATTGTGTCCCCTTTTCCTGTGAAAACAAGCCATGAACCGATGCTGAGAATGGGTCTAGTTTTGATCTCCCTTTGTTCTGTATTCCAGACCCCCCCCCTTTTTTTTGTATTGCAAAAACAGGGTTTTTTTTCCCCTAGGGAATGATCAGCATTGGCCACTGTCGGCAGACAGGACACTGGGCTGGATGGACCTTTGGTCTGACCCAGTATGGCTGTTCTTATGTTCACCTGCTGAATGTGGGGCCTGGATTATTAAAAAATGGAAAAATCTGTTCTTTTCCCACTTCCAATCCTGTCTCTGACCCTGCATCCTCTCCACCAGCTCCTCTTTTCCCCTTCCCAGCACAGCCTTTAGTCCACTTCTCCACTTCAGATGAAAGAAGGTTTCATCTGAAGAAGTGGGTTGTACTCACAAAAGCTCATGATACCATCTACAATACATGTTTCGTTAACCTCAGTCTAGCAAAAACTTTAAAAACAACAAAGTCATGGAGCACCTTAGAGACTGTTTTCAAATCACCGTCCCCGTATGCTTATAAGGTGCACCAGCCCTAGGCCTCTGCAGGCCACACAGGGTCAGAGCCTGCTGGCCTGGGGCTGATGCTCCATACCTGAGTTGAGGCTGCCTTCCTTTAAGCTGGGCGAGTTCAAATAGTCCTCTTTGCAAACAAATTTGCTTTCATTTATAATATAAAGTTCCTCTCCCGTGGAGAGCTGCTTGTTGCAAACCATGCAGGTGAAACAGTTCAGGTGAAAGACTTTGCTTCGGGCTTTGCGGACGAGGTCACTCGGAGAGATGCCTTGGGAACAGCCTGCGCATTTGGTACCGAACCTCCTGAACAGTAGCGAGAGAGAGAGAGAGAAGGGAGGGTGATAACACAGAAGGGACTACCCGGGCACTTAGTGGCCTGGCCTGAGTGTCATCCCCCCTCCCCCCTGCCACCGGCCACCTATAACTGCATCACACCCAACCGCAGGCATCTTGGCAGAGAGGGTGGATGGTGGAGATGGGGGGATTAAAGCAATTGCCCTGGGTTCCGATATCCCAAGGAAAGCAGATTTGGATGCCAGCAAAACGCGTGCATAAAACTATTCCTCTTGTGGCGGATTTGGTCTCCAGCAACACACGCCTCGAGCAGGCGAAGAGAGGGCTCAATTTACATGAGAATTATCTCCTAGCCCTGAGTGCCCTTGTTTGACTCCCTAGACATGGACACCCCACCCCCACTTTAACAGGTCTGTCTCCATGGGAAATATTCTGGGGTGTCTGTTTTGTTTGGTTGGCGAGTGAAATCCCTCCCCCAGCTCTGGCAGGTAGCTGGCTTTCCCGACCCACCGCTTTCATTCAATCCTTGCCAGCGCAGAGGCAGGGAGCAATTCTTCTCTCTGGGGCACACAGGGGCAAACCCCAATGGGGAAGGGGCAATTTGCTGAGCTGTGTTTTGGGGGCAGATTGATTGCAGCTCAGAATAAGGTGTGGGGAGTGGGTCGGGTTTCTCTGTATGCGTCGGAATGCGTGGGTTTCAGATGGGCTGCTTTAAGAAGCAGCCATTATTTGGCATCAGTATAAGCATCCGCTTTGGTTTTGGATACCACACTGCGTCCACCAGAAATCTGCAGCACATTTGCATCCTTTTTTCAGGCTGCATTTCGGGAGGACACAGGAGGTAACCAATGGATCTTCCTATACAGTCATAATTCTGATGAATATTCCTCTTCTCTTAAACAATATCACATTTCGGTTAGTAAATATCCACTGGGGACACTTCTGTTGTTAGAGGGGTGGTTAGTTACAAAAGAGAAACACAGATGGCTGCTTATTGAATTCAAAATGGGACAGGGGATCTAGCTAACATTTGAGGCTCCTAAAAATTGTGTCCCCTTTTCCTGTGAAAACAAGCCATGAACCGATGCTGAGAATGGGTCTAGTTTTGATCTCCCTTTGTTCTGTATTCCAGTCCCTCCCAGCCTCTCAGCCCCCCCCCCTTTTTTTTTTGCTTTGCAAAAAGAGATTTTTTCCCCTAGGGAATGATCGCTACCAAGCAGCAGAATCGTACCTGTTTTTTAAAACAGGTAATTTAGTTTCCACTTTAAGGTGTTTCCGTATTCTGGTTCCCGAGAGAGTTGAGGGCGCTTGTGGAAGCGGAATGTGCGGAGCGGGGATAAGGGAGAAATAAAACTGGGGTTTTTCTTCCTTGTTTCAACACAACTTCTAAGAGCTTCACTTTCCATGACGTTGATTTAGTGAAAGCATTAGAAGTCATAAGTCATTTTTTGGTCTTATCCTGGAGCATAATTGGCTCATCTGCACCTTATCAAAAATCATTAAAGGCATTTAAGGAGTTGCAGCATGAGGGGTGCTGAATGCATAGGGGCTATTAAAAGTAGTTTACATGTGTAAAGGCGAGTGTGACACTTAACCTATTCAAATTCACCTTCATTAGGGCCTATACGACTAGGAAAGCTGCCTTCTCCCCCCACTCTATATTAATCATCCCCCGAGCTTTTCACCCTTTAGCTAAACAAATGACCACATTTACCTCAATTGCAGCCAGAAACAAAAGGCCAAGCGATATTTAGGGCGATTTTACATTTTCAATGAGTTCATTTGTTGGTTTAAAAGAAGAAGGGGAGGAGGGAGAACAAGTCTGTTCTGTGCTCGCACAGCCAATTAGATCACAAAGCTTTGCTCCTAAGCCCGGCAAGGAACTTTACTGGTGCTTTTTAGAATTCCCAGCCCAGGCTGGAACATTGGGGCAAAGGAGTTTGGGAGCATCCCCCCGATATTCCGCTCTCTGCCGACCTCTTCCCGCCGCACGTTAGTTCGAATTGATTCTAACTGAGGCTCTGCCTCTCCTCAAGACAAGTCTTGTTACTTTTAAAGCCAGGGGCCTTAGAACATCAGGGGTGTTTTTTTCTGAGATGTCGTGTTCCTCTCCACCCCAGAATGCATTTTAAAAAGTAACCCACAAACCGTTGCCTTCTCTCTTGGCATAGAATCGGCTCGGATCTGGCTCAACTTTGTGCATAAATTCACATTAAAAACATAGGAATCGGATTACACAGCGAGCAAAGCACCTGAAGTTCTCCTAGTTCTAGGATCTCCCCTCCCGCGCAGAAAACGCCGAGGAATCTCGCAAAAAAGGGGGACATTGACAATAGGTACAACCGATGCCTGCGGATTGTAAAAGTCACTTTAAAAGAGATTTCTGCCTCTTCCCTCCTCCCCCAGGAAGATATAGGGCTCCTTTTGGGAGTGTGAATGGAATATCTGACAGCGAGCGATGGAGAGGACTACAGAAATGCGCCAATTACGGAAAGCTACTAGGACGCTAGGACAAGCACAGAAGTAGGGTATCGCTGTGCTAGCCAAGCAGCTGGGGAAGGGGTTCGCCTCCTTCTTAGGGAACTTACCTGAAAAAGTCGTTTTTGCAGTAAAGCTTGCCTTCCCTTGAGAAGCATTTCTCCGTCAGGTTGCACTTGCATTCGCAGCACTGGACACACTTAATGTGCCAGGCCCTGTCCAACACGTTCAGCAGAAACCTGTCCAAAATGGGCCTCTCGCAGCCTGCACAATGCACCATCATGACCTCGGCCGAGGAAGGCGAGACAACCCGAATGAGGCAGGATGCAGCCCTCCACCCGGCGGCCGAAAGCGATCGCAAGGGTGGAAAAACGGAGAACACTTTCAGCTTCCTTCCTTCTTCTCCTGGGAGTCCTGGGGGCAGGCAAAAAGTGTTGTGTGGACTTTCCAGACTGCCGCCACCGAGGCAGATGCTTCTCTTTCTCCTGCTCCCCACCTCTTCCAGCAGGTTCAGTCGGGGGAAGCGAAGCAAAGATATCCTGGAGGGATGACTTTCTCGGCACCTTTCAGTGTAGGCGCAGCCAGCGCCTGTGTGGAAGCAGCCAGTCCACGAAAAGGCTTAATAATCAAACACAAGAATAACCACCTCAACAAAGCCGGGAGCCCCCAGTTCCTCCGTGCAGATGGCTGGTTGGGACTTTTCTCCACTTTCACGCTGTTCCCATCTTCAGCTTTGTCTCCCAGTTTAGTAATTCGCGCATCCTTATTCAGATTTGGTGACGTCCCGCAGAACGTAGGGAGGCCGAGGGCCAATGAGAATGCGGTGGCCATGGCAACCTCTTAATTTATAGCATATCTAAATTGGCTCCAGCCTTGCGCTTGGCACAGAGGGGGGAAAAAACAAGGCACCACTATTGTTGAGTAGTAGGTTTTACCTGGTGCGGGGGCTAAGTAAGTATTTACCTTTATTTTGTTTGCAGGGGCGGGTGGGTGCAGATTTAAATTATTTTTGCAGTTTGGGGGTAATGTTTTATCTTTCTCTTCTTGGGGCAATGGGGGGGGGCGGGAGGGAATGAGACCTCGGGGAGGTCACTGCACCTGCAAAACAAGCTCTGGTTTGCCTCACTGTCAACAGAAAGCAGCGAATGGCCTCTTTGCATAAGTAGAAAAGGTGGAAATTCTTGCTCTTTTGTCAAGCGGTCTCCATGCATCCAAATGAAAAAAGAGAAAAGCTGAAGGACCCCCGATCTGGGGGTAGTTAGGCCAGTAGCATGCTGAGAGGAGTGCCCCCAGGAGAAGGCAAGTTCGGACAATGTCTTGGGATAAAAAGTTATCTGTTTTGTACTTCTCAGATATGAAGGTAATTGACCCCCTAGCGAGCTAGCTGGCCTTTGTTATACAGACCGGGGGGATTTTTTTTTAAGATTGCATCTTTAAGACAAGAGTCAACATGAGAATGAAGGGAAGAAAATCAGGAAAGCAAACCCCCTTTGGAAAGAGAGAAAGAGACTTGTTGTTCTTGTGCTATTGTACATGATTTTTTTCTTTAATTTCAGGTCCTGCGGACTTTTAAATTACCCAGTCACTTTGTGCGCAAGGTGATGACTCGAATGAATTAACCTTTGTAAACAAATGTTCTAGAGCTGAAAATATGTTTGAGTTAAAATAAAAGTTGTGGTCTAAACCTGCTTCTCTGGGAGATTACATTAGATTAGATACATAGACAGATAGATGAGAAAGTACAGCGCTAGATGATAACATGTTGATAGATCTATCTAGCAATTAGACAAATGAGAAAGTATAGCAATAGATAACATAGATTAGATGATACAATGTTATTTATAGATGATCTAGCTAGCAACAGTTAGATTAGAAGGTGTAGATATAGATGAACTCGGTAGGCAGATAGATAATTAAATAGATAAGACTGTATAACAATAGTGAGGAATGCATGTAGATGGTTAGGTAGAGAGGAATATATGGGGAAGTCATATGAGAAGGTACATCAATCGATATCTAGTAGATAAGAATAAACAGTAATAGACAGATTAGTGGGCGTGGCAATAGATGGATAGATTAGATGGATAGACAAAAATACAGTTAAATAGATACAAATGCATAACAATAGTGAAGAACATCAAGCTAGATTTTTTTCTAAAAGATCCCCCTAGGAATTATTTTTCGGAAAGTTCTCTAGTCTGTTATGCAGGAGATCAGACTACATGAACACAATTATCCCTTCCGGCCTTGGAATCTATGAATCTATAACTCTAGGGGTGGGTGGGTAGATAGAAAGATAGATATATTCGCAAGCAGGTAAATATGTATAGGTGTAGATACATTTCACTTAGCATTTTTGCAGTCATGTACTTGTTGAACCTAATAAGTCTAATCTTTGCAAATGTTTCAGTCAGAGCGCATTTAAAGCATGTGAATCCGAGATTTGGAGACAGCTATTTCAATGAATCCATCCACAATGCCTTAGTGGGAGAGGCCGGCTGCAGCTGGCCGTACTAAACATTGTTGTTGTTGATTAGGTCGCTTTTTTTGGGGGGGGGCAGATTCCCCCGTCTTCCTCCTCCTTTTGTCATGTGAGGGACAATGTCAATGCTGACACAATAGCTTAAGTTATAAGGTTATTTTGCGCCGTCCTCCATCCCTGTTCTCAGCACCCGAGAAGGGGAGGAGGGCCGGGTAAGTGTTTCGGGAAGCGATTGTTAATGGAAAGTACACAAACGTTTAGTCAGTCGTTTCATTACCTCCGGCAATGAAGAGAACACTTAGACCCCAATGTGTAGAGCAGCATTTTCCCGGGAGCCGTGGTGGGCCAAGCCGAGGGTGAGGGGCAGCTCTTAAAAGCGGCTTTGAGCAAGCCTGCTATAAATAAAACACGATCTTGCCAAGCGCCTAACACTGCCAGCAAGCGATTCCCATCGGGAGCCCAAGTAGCAGTGCGGAGAGAAGCTATTCGGCCAGTTGCACCACTGGTCTGAGCGACACAAATTCCCTTTCACACTTACTACACAGCTCTCTTCGAGGGGAAAGTAACTGCCTTGGAGTCTGGCCAGAGCCTCCCGCTGTCACAAAAAGAAAAAATAAACGAAACCCCGCTAGAATCTTTCCAACCTTCCCTCAAGTCAGCAGCCTGAGAGCGAGCGGTGCGCACAGGGGTTCCTTGTAGGTTCTTTTTAATGCATTTTTTAAAAGTCGGAAGATCAAAAATGTTTTTGACACCTCCTTGGGACTTCATGAATCTTTTGCACTAGTTATTATCTCAATAGGAAAATTCTCCATTGTAGCAGAGAAGCACCCCTGGTAAGGTAAATAAAAGTCAATCTCCATTAATGATCTCTGTTCAATAGCTAAATAAACTGACCATTGCACTAAAGCGAACAGCAGAGGCTGAAATTCATGACAGGGGTGATATTGTCTTGAGGGAGGAGGGGAGAAAAATCGGAAAAAATAATTTTACAATGGTTAGATCATACTATATCTTGGAACAGCAGGACATTACTGGAGGAGAAAAGGAAGGCTGGCTCTGCAATAGAATAGTTCCTTCTACAGACACAAGATAAATGTGTGGCACAAATATTGTAACACACACACACACACACACACACACACACATATATGCATATACACAGAGTGGACTATATATATTAGTATTGCATATAATATATATGCCTGGGCCTGTTTGCTTCATTTTCTATGTACACATAAGACATTTATTAATTTACAGACATATATAGTCTATAAACAATGCTGTTGCCTATTTATACACACGCGCATACACACTGATCGCGAACATCACAGTTAATATTTAGGTTCACAGGTCGAATATTCGAATGCGTATCTCTGAGCATCCCTCAGTCCCACATCAGTTGTGATCAAACAACACTGCCGCTGCCTTTTCCACATCAGCCAGCTCCTGGAAAGCTTCTCAGCTCTCTAGCCAGATATGTATGGCAATCATTTATTTTGCCATCGTGTGCACACAACTGCCAGCAGCACTGGCAGCTAAAGCTAAGCGGTGGACACTGCGCGAGGTACACGATACGCTCAGGTCTACGAATGCGTTCCTTTAGCAAGAAATAATTCACGCGGATTTTGATCCGATCGGGCCCCTTCCCGCACCAGCCCCTCACGGGAACAGAATCAGGGAAGAACCATAATGGTGTTTTTTGGTACGCGCCAGGTGACCCTCTCCGCCCACCTGATACAGTGAATTTTAACTTCCAGGGACAAATCCAGGGACAGTAAAACACAAATTGGTGGTGGCTGTTTGATTTCTGTTTCTCATTCACAAACGGGCAAGGCTGAAAATGTCCCCTGGAGCAGAGCGGACATGGTGTGCGGCGTCCCTTCCCCGGTTTTGCTGCAAAGGGGGACCCGCTGGTACCGAAACTGCTACAGGGCTGGCCCAGGGGGGCGGTGTGTGGAAGAATAATCGACACGTGTCTAAATTGCTAATGTATAAAAGGAGAAGCTCGCTAGCTCCATAAATACCACGGGGTCTTAAGGTGCATAGGGATCGGATAGAGCCGTATAAAGCGCATGGATAGCCACCTCCCTGCGCATCTGAGGTGCATTTCAGGGTCTGTTTGTCAGGATGCTCATCTCAGAGTTCTCTCTCTCTGGTGAAAGTCGCCGAGGTGTTTGGCACAGACCTCTGTGGAGGTACACTTGTATTTCATATGCTACACCAGTGTTTCTCAACCTTTTTAAAAATAAAGTATCCTTTAAAAAAATTATAGATACCCCCCATTCCTACAGTTTTCAGACACGCACATTTTTTTTCTACCGTTACAACACATTTGTTTAAACAACTTAATCGTAGCTGGGCGAGCGATGAGATGTTTGGGTGTAAAAAGGACAAACATAATAAAACGTTGTAAAACTTAAAACGAAAATTCGGTTTTCACCAAATTTCAGTTGCGTTGATATACCCTCCCAGACTTCTCTCGAGTACCCCTAAGGGTACTTATACCACTGGTTGAAAAACACTGTGCTACACGTTCTGTGTTATTGCACCTTCCGTGCACAAACACGCGCACATATCCTTAGCTGAGCAGCATTTTAACTCTAAATTGATTCCCTTTGGATCTTTGCCTGTGTAAGTGACTATTCACGAATACAGAGAAAGAATCAAACAGAAATACGTGACACCTCTCTCTCTCTTCCCCTCCCCCAGCAAACATATCCTCGACAGGTCCCGGGCCCATTGCCTGTATGTCACCTGGTATTTAGTTTGACTGGTAATGGTCTAATGCTCTAGACTGGGCAATCAGCGTCTGCAACTAGCAGATAACAACATCATTTGGTTCTGTGGCTTTCCATCAGCCCCCCTACCGCAACTGCTTCCCTCAGCAAACCCTTTTTCCCCATTAGCTCGGGGAGAAGGGGGTTGCTTTCTCTTAAATCCCCCAAGTTATATTATATTAAAACCAAACCAAAACACCAGCAAGAACTATTAGGCACATTACCCTGTGCTAACAGTAGTGACAGATGGTTATTCAGGCACCATAATATCCTCCTATATGTAACTAATAAACCTATTGTGTCTTAACAGGGTAATGCATGGAGAA